GAAGAATTGATGCTTTTGAACTGTGGTGTTGGAGAAGACTCTTGAGAGTCCCTTGGACTGCAAGGAGATCCAACCAGTCCCCCCTAAAGGAGATCAGTCCTGGGTGTTCATTGGAAGGACTGATGCTGAAGCTGAAACTCCAATACTTTGGCCACCTCATGTGAAGAGCTGACTCATTTGAAAAGACCCTGATGCTGGGAAAGATTGAGGGCAGGAGGAGAAGGGGACGACAGAGGATGAGATGGCTGGATGGCATCACCGACTCAATGGACATGAGTTTGGGTAGGCTCTGGGAGTTGGTGATGGACAGGGAGGCCTGGCGTGCTGTGATTCATGGGGTCGCAAAGATAGGACAGGACTGAGCGACTGAACTGAACTGAATTTAGAAGAAAAGCCTAGATAGGCAAATCTATACAGATGTAAAGGAAATTACATTTGCCTGGAGCAAGGGCTTGAGGAGAAAGGAGGAGTAAATGCTATAGGTATGGTGTTATTTTGGGCTTCCCTGGTGACTCAGAGTAAAGAATCAGCTTGCAATGTGGGAGACCTGGGTCCAATCCCTGGGTTGGGAAGATCCCCTGGAGTAGGAAATGGCAACCCACTCCAGTATTCTTGCCTGGAGAATGCCATGGACAGAGGAGCCTGGTAGGCTCCAGTCCATGGGGCCGAAAAGAGCTGGACAAGACTGAGTGAACAAGCACAGCACACGTGGTGTTGTTTTTTTTTTTGGGTGGGGGTGATGAAAATGTTCTCAAATTGATTGTGGTGATGGCTGCACAACTCGTAAAACTGTACCCTTTAAATGAGTAAACTAAATAGTATGTGAATTTTAATAAAACCATTAAAAAAGAAGCAGTAGAGAGAAACAAAATTATAATCTTTAAAAGCATCCGAAATGTCCCGCCACAAAACACTAAACATCTTTGATGTCTCATCTTACCTCAAAACAACAAAACAAAAACCTGTGTCTGCCCCTCTCTCACCAAACACATACAAATCAAAAGCTTTCTTCTCCAAATCTTGAGTGAATAGGCGGGTCAAGGCACATGTGCTGTTTACCCTGAGGTTCATTAACCCCTTCTGCTGGATCCCTGTCCCAGACTTAGAAGCAGGTTCTGAAATCAAAAGGATCTTGGAACCTGAACTCTAATTTAGCAGGCAGGCGACTACGGGCAGATCTAACTTCTCCCAGGTTCCCTCCTCCAGGGGATCTCCCCAACCTAGGAATCGAACCCAGGCCTTCTGCATTGCAGGCAGATTCTTTACTGTCTGAGCCTGTAGGGAAGCCCTTCCCAGCTTCAGTTTCCATGTTTGTAAAATGGGGATGCATAAAGTTTTAAACAATAGGTCCTCAAATTTAGTTTCTTTTTATCCATCCTAGTTACAAAGCTGTTATGTTAGGGAAAAAGTCTGGACAATGACAGGCAGAATATTATTGTAAAACTATAAAGTAATTTGAAATAATTTATAGTCTAACCACTTCTTTTTACACAAGATGAAGCTGACGTTCTGTAACTGGCCACACTCAGGAAGCAATGAGTAGCTTTACTGTCTGTGCACTTACTAATTTCAGGTTCTTAACAAGTTTACAAGTCTGGTAACAGCAAGTTTACAAGTCTAGGATTAGTCTCCAAACTAATGTCTACTGCATTCTGTTTCATTACAACGGGGAAGGGGAATGGGGGTGTTAAAACTGTAAACAAAACACCAGTGAGACGTCTCCAGTATTTTCAAGGAATTTTAAAAAAATCACTAACTGTTATATTTTAAAGCACTGGGATAAAGTCTGGGTTTTTCAAACCAAAAAAATACCAAAGGGAAGGAAAAAACGCAAAATCATTGAACTACATCCAGATATTCCAATAGCAATGCAAGCTGTATGTAGTCTTCTTCAATTCTGGGGCCAAACCACATTTTACTTCATCTGGGATGACCTTATTACTTGGATGGAATGCATCTCAGGCCATTCTCACTGGTCTTCTTAGCTGCTTGAAACTGGGGGAGTGTGACAGTTAAAGGATATGATGAAAGCTATTTGCCACTATTAGCCTGCCGTCTGCTCCCTAATACAAAAGCCTTATTCTAAACAGTTCACAAATACTATTTATAATCAGTTTTAAAATAAAATGAAAATAGTATTGTCTATACACATAGATCACTTAGGTGGTTTTCCCTATTAGTTATTTTCTTGACATTCTAAAGAAAAACTAAAGCTACTCACTAAAAGACTTTCTTAAAAACTCTAGGATTCTAAAGAATTCAATTTTCCAGCACACACACACACACACACACACTTTTCTGGCATCTTCAAAACAGCTCCACTTAATTTTACTTTCTACATAATAACTCCCTCTGTGTATTCATCAAAATTTCTTCCAAATTGTATTTTGTAGCTAATTTAAAAGCGAGGAGGATATATTTATTGTTATGAGCTCCTTGTGGACCCTGAGGGGCTCATAACATTTATATTTTATATATTTTAGCTATAAAATATCTCCTCCCTGCTTTTAAATTCATTTAATTTCCTTAAAAGGGCTCAGAACCACCTCTGGGGGAAAGGAAGAAAGAAAAGAAAACCGGATATTAAAAGGAGCAGTTGACTTAGTACAGGCAAGGTTTCCGGCTTGGGTCCACCAGAGGGTCGGGTGGTTAAACAAAAAACCCTAGTGGGGTCAGAGCTGGTATAAACCTGAATCTGCTCGTGGTCACTAGCTGCGCTTCAAGTCTCAGAGCAGGACTGTCTCCATCTATACATTGGGATGCTGTGCCCAGAAAAGGGAGCTTAACTGTAAAATGCTTAACACGGTGCCCGGCTGAGAAAAAGCACTTCGAAATTCGTTTTTTTCAATTTGGCTGTGTCACGACCATCGACCCTCAACGAATACTCAGGCTAGTGCAGGCTGATCTGTGCCCTGGACCGCGTTCGGATTCAGTGAAACGCCCGCCCCGCCAGCCCCCTCGGCCTCCACGGTAGTCAGGCCGCCCCTCTCCGCCTCTCTCCCCACGGACCCTGCTTCACCCCTCTCCCCGCCACCCGCCCAGGCCGCGCCCACTCGCTCAATTTCCTTTCCGCTTTCCACCCCGCCCTCCGCCGCCCCCAGCCAGCCAGGTACCTCCTGGCCACTCCGGGGTCCCTCGAGGCTGTCCCCTCGGGGCAGGTGTGTGGCTATCAGGGGTAGAGGATCTCACGACCACTATTTTCCAAGCCCCCGGCGGGAGGGGGAGGGTGCGGCATTTCCGTCCGGAACGCCGGGTGCGCGAGGCTCACACTCACCCGCTGCCGCTGCTTCTCTGCAGCGCGCGGAACCGGGCGCGCGCGGAACCCGACGCTCGTGGGTCTGGGGAGAGACGGAGACCTGAAGGCGCAGGAGAGTTCTTCCTGAAGCGCCTGCGCAATAGAGGGGCGCCCTCCCCCCACCACAATTAACAGCCCCTTCCTCCCCGACACCAGCGCTGCCAGGGGCGCTCCTGGGGATCTCCGCCGTCCGACGCGCGACTGCGGAACAGGTTTCCAGCTTGCGGGGGACGGAGCGTGAGACGGGCCCTCGGATTGGATGCCGCAGCCGCGGTCGATGTAACTCCCTTTCCGATTGGTTGGATTCAGGTACCACCTGGGGACAGAGGCTTCGGTGGGGCTGAATTGGGTCTAGAGGGAGTGATTCGTTCTTCTCTCCTGCCAAGCCCTTTCCCTAAGCGTCCCAGGGCTGGGTGCCCTTCAGCGGACCTGAAACGCAGCGAGTCCCGGAAAGGGCCCCTGGCTATTGCCTGCGTCAGGCTTACAGCCTTGCAGTTCCCTCCCAGTTAACAGGCTCCTGGAAGCTTAGGTGACTACTGGAAAAACGACTTTGGCGGCCTCGGGGCCTAGCACAAGTCTAGAGCAGCTTTAGCCAGTTCCTGTGAGTTGGGATAAATACAGTGTGATACAAAACAGTGTAACTCTGTGTTACTGGAGAAGTAAGTACCTTAACAGGTGAATTGAGTACTAGGCAGTTTATGAGTAAGGTTGCAGGAAACACAGAAAGACAGTCCGTGCAGTAGGGACCCAGGAATGGCTACCAACTGAGGAATGGGCATTTCTTTTTGACAGATACATGTGGGTCTGAACTGTAGTGCACAACCGTTACCCAGACCCAAGAGTCCAGAAGCAGCTGCAGAGACAGTTTGGGGTTAGATATATTATGTTGATTATTAGTTTGTACTTTCAAAAGTTAATTCCAGTCTTAAACCTCAAGACTGGCCTGTGCACCTCTGAATGGAAGCATCTTAGATCCCTGGGCTGTCAGAGCTGGAAGGAGTGGCAGAGCCCTTGTTGACCAGTCCCTACAATCTTCCAGACCAGAGTTTGAATCCTTACTCAGTAGCTGAGCAGTCTCAACCTGTTTGATCTTCCATGTCCTCATCTGCAAAATGGGCCCTCTTACAATGCCAGCTTCTCAGGGTCATTGTCATAACCCCATAAGATAAAGCAAGTAAAGTACTTAACACACATGGTGTCAGTGATTGTTATTGCTGTGACCAGAACAATGTTCCTCGACTTGAACAATGGTCAGGGGAAGGCTGAGCTCTGGCGGAAATTATACACGATGCCCAACTGAGCTGAATTCAGTGTTCTGTCATTTGGGGTGTATGATTATGCAAGTCCTGCTTGTTCATTCACTGGGTACTTGACTGCTTAAGGAGTAAACCAAACTGCCTGACTTAAAGGTCAGATGGTTATGGAGACAACAGCTGGAAGAGCATCAGGAGAGAAGGACTCCGTTCATCCACTGCCCCTACCAGCACCCCTGGCCATGTGACTGGGTCAGATCAGGGAGGCCTGTGCAGTCTGGTCTCCTGTAAGATAATGTGGTCAAGAACAGAGGGACAAAATGATTCATAACAGTGTTTTGGTACCAAGCATCTGTTATCCTACAAATATTTACTATTTCAACCGCAAATGAAAACCTATTTCAGTTGGCCTTAAATAATAAGGATATTCCTGATCTCACAAAACAGGAAGTTGAGAGGTAGGACAGGCTTCAGAACTGGTTGAATTAGCAGCTCAACAAGTCACCATATCTTGAGTTCCTTCCTCGTGTGGCTATTAACAGACTTGGCTTCTGGTTCCTCTAGTGGTAAAGATAACAGTGGCAGCAGGGATCATATGGTTCATTTTTCACTTCTGCCAAGCAATAGAAGTGACTTCTAGGGGTTTTTGTTTGTTTGTTTTTGTTTTTGGCTCTGGCAACCATCTCCTTCGATCACTTTAACTAGAATTGTGTTATTTGCCCAAACCCAGGCCAGCAAGGAATATGAAATTCCCAGCAGGCCAATTCAGTCTGCACTTGTGAGCTGAGTTCTCTTTTCCAGTCTGCACTGCTTCTGTCAACGGGAGTGAGGTGGAGTGGGTGTTGGAAAAGCCACCAAGAGTCTGCTGTAGGAAAGTTGAAGGTCATTTATGATAACAACAGAAAACACAACAGCAACAAATTTTCCATTTCCAATGTGATTTTTTTTTAACATATTGCTTTATTTAGGTAGGCAAAATAATAGCATTCATTTATAATATACTTTCGGGCTTCCCAGGGGGCTCAGTGGTGAAGAATCCACCTGCCAATGCAGGAGATGCAGGAGGCTTGGGTTCCGTCTCTAGATCTGGAAGATCCACAAAGGACCCCCTCCAGTATTCTTGCCTAGAGAATTCCGTGGACAGAGGAGCCTGGCAGGTTAGTCTGTGGGGTTGCAAAGAGTTGGACACCACTAAAGCAACTGAAAACACATGTATAATATTCTTTCAGCTCACCTTTTGAAAAAAGAATTTTATGTAAATCTTAGCAATAGGGATACAGTTTAGACCCTTTTTGTGTTGGAGACTGAAATGAGCTAGGAGCTACAGTCTAAATCCATCATGTGCAAATCAATGTGGTACCCCAAAGAAAACTGACTTGGCTAAATACACACAGAACAATTACAACTAGCGTCTTTGCCTCCATGGCCAATGGCAGGTTTGGAAGCAGCCTGTTAGAGGCAGTATCTCTTTCCCCCCCCATTAACTAGACTCAAGATTTATTGTTTATTCATTGCTGTTCATTCTCTCAGTCATATCCGACTCTTTGCAACCCCATGGACTGCAGCACACCAGGCTTCTCTGTCCTTCACCATCTCCCAGAGCTTGCCCAAATTCATGTCTGTTGTGTCCGAGATGCCATCCAGCCATCTTATCCTCTGTTGTGCTCTTCTCCTCCTGCCTTCAATCTTTCCCAGCATCAGTGTTTTTTCCAGTGAGTTGGCTATTCTCAAGAGGTGGCCAGAGTACTGGAGCTTCAGCATCATTCCTTCCAATAAATGTTCAGGGTTGATTTCCTTTATTCATTAGCGCAAAATATTTAAAATATTTTACCCTGTTTTCAAAATCAAAGACATAGCTCTTCATGCAGTTATTTCTCTTTTAAGTTCCTAATAATGATGCATCACTCATTGCTGGCAGGAAGGGGTCAGAAGTTACAGGGAAAAAAGTTTCAGAAGAAAAACCATAACATCTCCCAAGAAAAACAGTTCCTGTCCACTGCTCTCTGGTTTAATGACAAAGCTGAAACTGATGAATCAAATTTCAAGTCACTAGGAAGTCACTATTTTAAGTTTCACTTTTTAATATACTTTAGATGTTAATGTAAAGAAAGCATAATACAGTTTTCTCTTAAATATGGGGAGGAAATGACCTTAGGAATCATAGTACTTTAGTAGTTTTGAAATTTCGTTTAACAGAAACTCTGCACCCACTCCATCTTCAGCAGGATTGCATTTGAATAATCTCAATCAAGTAAGATTGTAAACTATTTTGAATGCTCCTGTTAAAAGTGCTTCTGTCTTATCCATCATGAACTACTCAGTATTAGGCATTCTTCATACTTCAGGAATTTTTTAAAGTATTTAATAAAGTTATGCAAGAAATAATATAAATTCTTTTGAGGCCTTCCTATGTGGAAGTTCAGTTCAGTTCAGTTCAGTCACTCAGTCGTGTCCGACTCTTTGTGACCCCATGAACCACAGCACACCAGGTTTCCCTGTCCATTACCAACTGCTGGAGTTTACCCAAACCCATGTCCATTGAGTGGAAGACCGCACATTCAGTGGACAAAAGCTGTGTGTGTTCTTACTGCCCTACCCCCAGCTGTTCTCCCATCTCTCTCCTTCTCCTTAGGCCTCCCTGTTCCCTGAGACACAACAATGTTGAAATTAGACTAAATGGTAACCCCACAATAGCCTTGCTAAGTGTTCAAATGAAGGGAAAATCCTCACTTCTCTCACTTAAGTCAGAAGCTAAGAAATGGTTAAACCCAGTGAGGAAGGCAGGTGGAAGCCCAGATAGGCTACAAGCTGGGTGCTTACAAACAGCCAGGTTGTGAAAGCAAAGGAAAAGTTCTTGAAGGAAATGAAAAGTGCTGTTTCAGTGAGCGCATGAATGATAAGAAAGTGAAACAGACTTTATTGCTGATAAGGAGAAAGTTGGAGTAGTCTGGATGGAAGACAAAAGTGGCCACAATATCCCTTTAAATCAAAGCCTGATCCAGAGCAAGGCTGTAACCCTTCGATTCTGTGAAAGCTAAGAGAGGTAAGCATGCTACACCAACAATATTTGAAGCTAGCAAAGCTGGCTCATGAGGTTTAAGGAGAGATAACTTTTCCATAACATAGAAGTGCAAGGTAAAGCAGCAAGTGCTGATACAGACATTACAGCAAATTACCCAGAAGCTATAGCTGAGATAATTAATAAAGGCAGCTACACTAAACAACAGATTTTCACTGTCGACGAAACTGCCTTCTGTTGGAAGAAGATGCCATCTAGCTCTTTCATAACTAGAGAGGAAAAGTCAGTGCCTGGCTTTAGAGCCTCAAAGGACAGGCTGACTTTCTTGCTAGGGGCTTATGCTGCTGGTGACTTTAGGTTGAAGCCAGTACTCAGCATTTCGGAAATCTTAGGGCCCTTCAGAATTATGCACATTCTACTCTGCCTGTGTTCCATAAATGCAGCAACAGGAACTGGAGGATAGCACATCTGTTCTAAAATGTGGTTTACTGAGTATCTTAAGTCAATATTGTTGAGACCCACTGCTCAGAAAAAAATGTTTCTTTCAAAATATTTGTACTATTGATAATGCAGTAGATGAAGGGAGCTCTTCTCTGCTGATGCCAATCCAGCTGCTATCTCCATCTCCATCTGACCTATACGGCAGGCGGTTCTGCCTACTCTTTAAGCAGGAATGCAGTGAACGAACACACAGGACATGCGTAGTCTCATGCCTCAAATGCCAGCACTTTGAAATTCAACTCAGTTGGACAACGTGTAATTTCCCCAGAGCTCAGCCTCCCCCGACCATTGTTCAAGTTGAGGAACATTTTTCTGGTCACAGCAATAACAATTGCTGACACTCAGCACGTGCTGAGTACTTTACTTGCTTTATCTCATGCATTTGACAATGACCCTAAGAAGCGGTATTGTAAGAGGGCCCATCTTGCAGATGAGGACGTGGAAGCTCAAATAGGTTGAGACACTGGTCCAAGATGGCTCAGTTACTGAGTGAGGACCCGTAGTCAGGTCTGGCAGACCTGGTCAACACGGCCTCT